CTTGTAGGACACTCTTGTGGGATACTCTTGTCGGACACTCTTAAGGGACACTCTTGTGAGACACTCTTGAGCGACACTGTTGCGGGACACTCTTGTGGGACATTTTTGTGGGACACTTTTGTGGGACACTCTTGTAAGACACTCTTGTAGGACAGTCTTGTGGGACACTCTTGTGGGACACTCTTGTGGGACACTCTTGTGGGACACTCTTGTAGGACACTCTTGTAGGACACTTTTGTGGGTCACTCTTGTGGGACACTCTTGTGGGACACTCTGTGGGACACTCTTGTGGGACACTCTTGTGGGACACTCTTGTAGGACACTCTTGTGGGACAGTCTTGTAGGACACTCTTGTGGGACACTCTTGTGGGACACTCTTGTGGGACACTCTCGTGGGAAACTCTTGTGGGACACTCTTGTAGGACACTCTTGTGACACACTCTTGTGGGACACTCTTGTGGGATACTCTTGTCGGACACTCTTAAGGGACATTCTTATGAGACACTCTTGAGCGACACTGTTGCGAGACACTCTTGTAGGACACTCTTGTGGGACACTCTTGTAGGACACTCTTGTAGGACACTTTTGTGGGTCACTCTTGTGGGACACTCTTGTGGAACACTCTGTGGGACACTCTTGTGGGACACTGTTGCGGGACACTCTTATGGGACACTCTTATGGGACACTCTTGTGGGACACTCTTCACTCTTGTGGGACACTCTTGTGAGACACTCTTGTAGGACACTCTTGTGGGACACTCTTGTTGGAAACTCTTGTGGGACACTCTTGTAGGACACTCTCGTGGGAAACTCTTGTGGGACACTCTTGTGGGACACTCTTGTGGGTCACTTGCAGGACACTCTTGTGGGACACTCTTACACGACACTCTTGTAGGACACTCTTAAGGGACACTCTTGTAGGACACTCTTGAGCGACACTGTTGCGGGACACTCTTGTGGGACAGTCTTGTGGGACACTCTTGTAGGACACTCTTGTGGGACACTCTTGTGAGACACTCTTGTAGGACACTCTTGTGGGACACTCTTGTAGGACACTCTTGTGAGACACTCTTGTAGAACACTCTTGTGGGTCACTTGCAGGACACTCTTGTGGGACACTCTTACACGACACTCTTGTAGGACACTCTTAAGGGACACTCTTGTAGGACACTCTTGTGGGACACTCTTGTGGGACACTCTTGTAGGACACTCTTGTAGGACACTCTTGTGGGACACTCTTGTGGGACACTCTTGTGGGACACTCTTATAGGACACTCTTGTGGGATACTCTTGTCGGACACTCTTAAGAGACACTCTTGTGAGACACTCTTGAGCGACACTGTTGCGAGACACTTTTGTAGGACACTCTTGTGGGACACTCTTCCAGCTCCCCAGATACTCCGCATACTCATCTTCCAGCTCCTCAGATACTCCGCGGACTAAAGTTCCACTACAAAGTCGCCAGTGCTCGCCTACATGTCGCGCGCTCGACGCGCACGATCTCCGCAGAGTGTTGCGCAGGCTCCGGACAAATCGCACTCTCGCCTGCATTTTGCGCGCTCGACGCGCACGATCTCCGCAGAGGGTTGCGCGGGCACCGGACAAATCGCACTCTCGCCTGCATTTCGCGCACTCGACACGCACGATCTCCGCAGAGGGTTGCGCGCGCATGGGACAAATCGCACTCTCGCCTGCATTTCGCGCACTCGACACGCACGATCTCCGCAGAGGGTTGCGCGCGCATGGGACAAATCGCACTCTCGCTTGCATTTCGCTCACTCGACACGCACGATCTCCGCAGAGGGTTGCGAGTCAAGTCTCCAAAACGAGCGTTTCGTACGAGATTTCCTCAAAAACTCACACGTCAAAGTCTGCAAAACGAGCGTTTCGTACGAGACTTCCTCCAAAAGTCAAGCGGAAACACCCATCGGAGCCCACACATCACGCAGCCCTGCCAAGCAGTTTCGCGATTCCAGCCCCTCCAAACAACATCCGCTCACACGCCAATCCCAATGTGACAGCGACATTCACCTCTACCACGACTCACAACCTCACGATTCCCTGCACCTGCCACGAATCTTTCCGCGTCCACAGCACAGAGTACTGCGCCTGCCACGAAATGTCACCTCCGTCCCACCTCGCAACCTCACGATTCCCTGTGCCTGCCACGAGAATCGCACTTCCACGCCTCAAAGGGAGCCCAGAGTCCTGCGCCTGCCACGAAAAGTGACAATATCATCTCATGTGAGCTTCAACAAAATTTGCACCACACCACACGTTTGGAATGATTTCGACCCGTTCTGAGCACACTCCCATCCACCAAAATCGCCATTTCAGCTGAGACTTGTCACGAAAACCGAGCTTCAATGCCACACCCTGAAACGCAAATCCCAATGGCACGGCCACATCCAACACCCCAAAAACACGACTCTCCAAACGCTAATCCCAATGGAACTGCGCAAAAATCTGCGGATCTCGACGAAACGTATCACGTTCCTTGCGCGATATATCGGTGTCATGCAAATCACAATGGAATAGCGACGCAAATTGACCCGTGCCGCGTCCATGCAAAGTCACTTGCAAAAGCTTCCCCAATGCCAGCAAATTTGCGACGTGACGACGACGACAAATGACGACAAACGACGACAAACGACGACAGACGACGACAGACGACGACAAACGACGACAGACGACGACAGACGACGACAGACGACGACAGACGACGACAAACGACGAAAGACGACGACAGACGACGACACGACGCACGCCACGCGAACACAGCTCCAACCCCCAGACCCCCAACTATAAACGGGAACCCTTCGCTACGCATTCGGGAAAAATTACAATAAATATAATTTAATATCAATATCATTTTTGTTTCATGAAACATTATCGAATAATATTATTAAATACATCCCAATAAGAAATTAATTATTTTTCTATAATTAATATATATTCTTTTAATTAATATAATTATTAAACAAAAATATTCTTTCCTATATTTTTACAATTCTCTCCTATATTTTTTACAATTCTCCTTATTGCTTTATTATTCCCCTTATCTTCATCATCGATTTCATCATCATCATTTCCACCAAATATCATCATCGCCATCATCACCACAACCACCATTATCATCGCCATCGCCTCTCTCTAGAACCTCTAGATCTCTAAATTGTCATCATCACCATAATCATCCTTCTACCACCATCATCACCACTATCGCTGCCACCACCACTACCAGCACCATCATCACCGCCACCACCACCATCAGCACCACCATCACCTCTTCTAGAGCCCAATACGTCTAGATCTCTACACCTTCTGCTTCTATTCTTAGACCTCTGGCCCCACTGTTTGCGGGGTCTCTTATCGGGATAATTCAATATATTACAAAGTTAAATTCATCTCATTTAGAAGAAAATGCTCTGTCCTGTGTTAGTTAGTTACTGTCGATAGTTGTATACCTGTGTTTTTGGCGCTGTTGCAAACAATCCGAATAAAATTGTTTAAAACAAATAAAAATTCGAAATTCCACCTTCTAAGCGCTTTTTCTAACCAAATTCAAAAATGATTCAAGCCGCCAAGCCTCAACCCCTTATCATCGGACGATACATAAAAAAAATTCTTAAAAAGTAATAATCTAGAGCCTCAAACCTAACCTCCTACAAGCGTTTCCTATTTCTAAAATTGCTTAACTTGTAAAGTAATTTCTAATTTACATAAAACATATTAATTCCAACCAAAAAAATCTACGCCGTTCAATTCATATTATTTACTTATTCTACGATTACTCCTTTACAAAACTCTTTCAAATACTACTTTACTCCAAACGCTTCGATTAAACAAGCATCTAAAAAATCTAATCAAAATCCTCAATCGTAATAAATATATATATACATAATATAATATCAATAAAATGTTATTAAATTAATTTATTTACGTATATTAAAATGCTAAAAAAATATATACATATTTGAAGTAAAACAATTTGTATTTTAAGCATTATATATATAAATTGTCTTCCGGTAAAATATTATCTTTAATTGTTATAATTTATTGCGCCTGTCTTTCTGAAAATTATAATCGAATTTTTGTGACGTCAAATGGCGTAGTGTTTTCCATAAAGACATTAAATCAAAGATATTGATGGATTTCGAATTGCAAGTTCCGCAATCCGCAATGCTCATTCAGTATCCATGATTCTGTATGGTACACTTGTGCTGGTCGCACGTTTCTTCCGCCTCAGTACATCTCACATTCCAGCTGCCAATGGCTTTGCGAAGGCTTTGCAATGGCTCTGCAGACTTACTGTCGTGTTTCATGTTTTGCCCTCTAGCTGGCAAAATTACAAAAACAGGAAAATTCAGCTTTGTCCGTCTCCCTACAACGAAACGCATATCTTCTGCATTGATTGTCGTGTCAAGTCTTGCGCTCCAAGTGAGCCTGGACTTGGCATTCCTCTGCTACAAGTGCTACAGTACAAGTTGCGCGCAAATAAAGAAACTTTGGCGTCTAGTTAAGTTATCACTGTAACATGCACGGCAAACCTTGACACATGTTTCTCAATTCAAGACGAGGCGCCCCTTTTCCTTTCCAGCCTGTCAAAACTATGGAGGAGGCAGGCAAACCGCGACACTAAAGCAGGAGTGTATGAACGCAACTAGTGTTTCTCTGTCCCAGGTTGTTCTAGAAGGACGATATGTGGAAGACGTTTTGAAGTCTTTGGACACATTCATTGATGCCCTCGCACGCCTCTTTGTGGCCGCTGATTGTCCTTCTGCCAACATCCACTCGAATTTGTCTTTTCCTAGGTACAGAAAATCACTGGAAATACCGACGAAGTCCGACGCAGCAAGTGGCGTGTAGCCGAGGTCCAAACCAAAGTGGGCACTAGTAGAAAGGCCAAGACACACCGAGAGGTCGAATTGGGACGAGCGGACGCGGACGGGCGTCGCTGCCGAGCGCCCTTTAAGCTCATTGAGCCCGCCCTGCGAAAGCAAAGCGGTGTCCTGTCATGTCAAACCTGTTGCACAGCGTGCAACTCACACAGGCAGTGCTATTGGCCATGTGTGGACTGGGAAAACCAAGACTGGCAGATATTGAAATCTGAAAGCCAGGTGGTGACCTCATCTCTAAGGCAGCTGCCTTGCACCAAGTTCACAAAGTCAATCGGGCTTCTTCGATCCCCGAAGTAGGCACAAATGCGGAGGCGGAGCTGGTGGTTGGACTCTGTGATCTGCTCTGCACAATGGCAGGTCTCGAAGTGCCAGCAGGTGCCATTTCTTCTTGAGGCCACAATTGGCTGTCGGCGCGGGCATTGGTCCATGTGATCATCCACCGCGGTGATCAGGCGGCGGAACAAAGGGGCAGCATCCTGCACAAGCGGGCGCAGGTTCAAGATCTCCGTCGTGGCCAGGTCAACGGCCTTGGGGACTCACGATCAGCCATCTGGTACTCGTGTGCTCTGCCTTGTTCATTTCTCAGGGCTTCTCTGGCCACTGGTTGATCTTTCTGAGTGCCAGTGTCGATGGTGGTGACTTTCTCACTTTCTTTCAGCTTTTCTCCTTTGGACATGCGGCCTAGGAAGAAGGCAATCAGCGCAATCGCCAAAGGCGCCGCTGCAAAGAGGATCAGCCACAGCTCATCGCTCAGCTGTGATTCTGAGGGTACCTCTGCCACCGGACACGATGTTGGCGCTGCTTGGCAGCACTGCAGCAAAACCAGAAAAATCATCCAAAACATGAAATTCTTCGAGCGACCCTTGATGTCACACTTCATGCAGCTCTTCACGACATGGCTTGCGGCGAGGACATACGGAATCATGTCCGTGGAGTGCGCACAAAGTTCACATATTCCTCCGGGCCAGCCGGCCGTCGACGATGCGCTGCACTGAAGATGTGGTGAGGTTTGGCAGCATAGCGAGGGCTATTTGGACAGCCGGCTCCCAAGACATCGTCCACGCGCATGATGACCATACCAACCAATCGTTCAGCTCCCAGCGAGTTGACTTGCTGGTGAACAGGGTCGTGCTCAGTGTAGTTGTCATCATCAGTCTTATAGATGAGGAACGCACATGGGTCGAGAGCATGTTGTCGCAGACCTCCACGGCGAAGACGATCAACTGCTTCTAAGTACCAACCCACAACTTTCGATCCTGCTCTCGTCCTTGGAGAAAGGCGGTGCTCACGTCTGCAGTCCATGTGGTCCAGTGCATCGTAGTGGCAAGAGACAGCAACATAGAGCGGGACAGTCGAGTCGTGGTAGGACTTGATGTCTCAATGCTTCCAGCTAAGGCGTCTGGATCAGCAAAGCCACGGACGATCAGACGAGCTTTCGCTCGTTGCGAGACCATTTCAACAGAATCCTCGAGGTCAGCGTTCTGGATGGGTCAGCCTCCTTGGTGGACTCTGGAAGATCCACACGTGGTGATCGAAGATGAAGCTCTTCAGTTCCTTGACTTTAGCCTCCTTGAACATCGCTCACTCTTGCGGTCCCAGAGACCGCTCATTCACAGCATTCTTCTCCTTCTTGAACTTCTTTTGTTTGGCGAGCTTTTGGTCTTTTCCTTGGTGCTTTGCACTTGTGAACTGGTGGTGTCCACAGTACATAGCAAGTTCTTTGCGTGTGTTGCCATTGAGCTGGAAGATGGTTGCTCCTGTCCAAGTGTGCCATCATAGCCGCTGTCAGTGGTCAAGCGACTTTTGCCTCCGCCTTGGTGAATCAAAGGTCACACGCACACTGTCCAACTGGTCAGGACTGACCGGGCAATCTTTGGGAAGATGTTCAAGATGTAGTCGTCCACGACGGGGCACAACATGGTGCCTGATCATCATCAAGCAACCAGCTTTGAGCTCCCAGTAGTCGGTGGTGCGATCATGTAGTTGGAGGAATCCATGTTCATCCATGAACCAACCGCTGGGCAACATCTTGGTGTCCAGATCATCCAGGTAGAAGGCCTGACCGGCCAGCTCATGCTCATCACTAAGTCGAGGTGGTCGGTGTTCAGGATCATAAGGCCTCGTGTCTGAGGACATTCACTCGCTGCTGGCCAGAGTCATCAGCCTTGAACTCCTTCATGACAATCTGCAAGCCAACGAATCTTCACCAGATCTGGCTGTTTGGCGTCTCAGCATCAGCTTCAATCAAAGCTTTCTGAGCAGCGGCGCGCTTGTTCAGCATGGCCTCACAGGCATCATGTCCGCCGAAGTGTCCAAGGCGGAAATTGTCACCAAGAAGACTGCCAGCCAGTTGTGGTTGATGTCCAAGAAACCATTGGGTCGGAGAGAATCCAGCAACTGACAGTGATGCCGGAGGCTTCAGTCAGCTGCATATCATCCATGTAGACCTCAATGGACTTGCGAAGGATGGCATGTCTTCGTTCAACGATGGCCAACCGTTCATGAGCTTCTCCCGGGGCAACGACATGTTCAATGCCATGGGCCCCGGCGTTGGTCCAGGACTCAAAGACTTGACTCAACCAGCCACGGCCTTCATCAGTGATGAGTCGCTGTGGTGCTCCGAAGTGGGCAATCCAACACCTCTCAAGGCCACGAATGTGCTCCTCGGACTGCTCAGAGCGCAACAAAACTGCTGCTGTGTAGCGAGTGGCCAAGTCAACTACGCTGAGAACTGGGTGCTTGACGGAGTTCTTCAGGCATAGCCAAAAAGACATCTGCCTGCAAGACGTCGTTGAACTTCGCGCTCACCGGAAGGGATGCAGGGGCAGCATCGGCACGCTTCTTGTACTTGGCGCACGCAACACAGACATAAGATCTGGCAGCACGGAGTACTTCTTCATTGGCTCCTCGGGCAGCCAATAGTTCAGTGAGCTCCTTTGTGGATGGATGACCAAGGTTCCTGTGGAGTCGTTGTACCACCCGAATGGCCTCCTGCTTTGTATCAGCGCGCAGCTTGACCAAGTTGCCAGTCACCAGCTTCTGCTCGGAAGATGTGCGCGCTGCCTCCCAAGCCTGAGGTGCCTCATCGATAAGCAACGCAGAGGCGATGGTGCTAGCGAGGGCAGGCCGGTAGTTTTCCTTGGCGCGGCGCGAGAGCCAAGACCAAGAGCAGAACCTTCCAGTGCACAGTGGTCGTGGTCACCGTTGCACGTCAAAGTGAGGGCATTCTGTATAGCCTGCTTGGTGGTCATGATGGTGGCGCTCTTCTTGACTGGTCGCCAGGCCATATCTTCATCCCCATAGCGGCATTGGTCAAAGTCAGCACCTCGACCAGGCAAATCAGGAAGCGCCTTGGTCTTCCAGCAAAGAGCGTGCTTGGGCTGTTCCACATGAGCATGTCGACCACCCTCACCCTGCTTGAGATAGGCACGACGCACAAAACAAAGATGGCGGTCATGATGATGATGATGATGATGATGATGTCGAGCTGCTACCAGTGCCTCTTGTTGCGCGGGCGTTCTTCGTGCCAGGGTCTGCATGCGACTCCAAAGCTTGCGTTCGGGTGTCAGGAGTAGTTCGTCAGGTGATTCTTCATCGAGCTCGCGAAGGAAGGCTTGTTGGTGATCCAGTCGGTCGAAGTTCCAGCCTGTTTCCAATGAGCAGCATCTGACACTTATGCCAAGAGCTTCAGCAACCTGCGATGTACGAGCTGAGCCACAGTAGACCTTTCATAGGACTCGCTTCGGCGCTTGCTCTGGAGGATGAAGATGTCGAGTCACATAGGCTGACAGCTCGTTGAGGTATGTCCTGAGCTGCACGTCCATATAGAGGTCATGACGTCGGAGACATCGAGCGGCATGTTCATCCACGGCTTCAGCTCGCTCGCTGACAGTGAATCCTTGTTCTTCTTGCTCGAAGTCATTCAGTGTGAAGCCATCAGCTTGTGGAAGATCAGGTTCGGCAGTCTCGAGTGCAAAGTCAGGCTGGTTGGGGTCGTACTGCATGAGGTCATGTTCCATGGTGAGCGAGAGCAAGTACCCACCTTGTCGGCCAACGGTGGCCTCTTGCCAGGTAGAGCTGCCAATTCAATGCGAATGCGCTTCATGGCGAAGTCCATGGTCATCCCAAGAGCCTCGATGATGGGGCAACCACACAACATTGGCGTATTGCCAGGCAGAAGAAACAGTTGCACTGTCCCATAGCGGCCATCTAGAAACACTGGAAGGTGCGCCGACCAGGTAGACCAAGATGCAGCATCGCCACCAAACTGGAATCTTCGTTTTCCTTGGGTCATGGCAATCTTCTCAATGGGGAAGTTGCAGTCGTACTTGAGGTGCTCCAGGTAGCGACGGAAAGGACCATATCCTGAGAGGAAGGCACTGGCACCAGGATCCAGCATCACGCAATCAGGTCGCTGGGTGCCATTCTTGTCCTCGAAGATGATCAGGGCTTGTTCAGCCACTTGTGCCATGTTTTGAGTCGGCGGAGGTCGTTTCAAGCCGGAGCCCTTGGATGTAGGTGAACTGGATTGTGGACAGTGGGCAGCCCAATGACCTTAACTGTCCACAGCGCAGGCACGTCATGTTGGCGCGCGCTCTGCCTTTTGGATCACTCTTTCTAGCACCTTGTGGAGGGTAGCGGATGGTCGCTGAGGAGCCACGACCTTTTCCTTTGTTCTTTCCACCCTTTCCTTTTCCTTTTCTTTGCCATGAGGATGCCGTAGGGGATGAAGACGAAGAAGCTGCTGTCCGCAAGGGCTGTTGTTGCTCCGTCAACGCAACCAAAAGGAGAAAGCCTCGAGCCATCTTCAACTCATTGAAGCGCTTACGGGCGTCAGTGTAGGAAGCAAAGGCGGTATCAAACTCTTCAGCCAAACGCTCAGGACTCGTGGTTTCGTTCGAGTCAGGCCAAGAGGCGTCGTCATCCTGGCCTCCAATAGTAGCCAGCTTCATCATCGAAGTCACTCTCCTCATGGTCATAGTCCCCGATGGGGTAGTCCTCCTCATAGCAACCAATTTCCTCCCAAACTGGCTCATCATCCATCTCCTCCCAGTCATCCTGAGCTGCGTAGGCCTTGCCGGTCCAGTTGGAGAATCGCCGATTGCGGTCGTGGTTCCAGCCTCCACCCTTATAGTCTTGTCCAAGGATCAGGTACAGGGCCTCGATGACGGTGGCCTTCTCGAGGGTGGGAGCCTTGAGCATCAGGAGCTGTCGTTGCTCCCGAGTCAGGGAAGCGCGACGAAGGAGGTGCCAACCTTGAACTGCTTCTGGGGCCACCCTGTCATCCAAAAGTTAGTGGGTTTCGAAGCTGCCGTCTGGCACCGTTTCTGGCTGCATTTGTGCGAAGAAAAAGATGGGCTAAGGGTGTGGCGAAGGACGCCTTCCACAATCGAACGGGCTCTGCAGCGCAAAAAATTAGGGGTCAGCGGCACCTGGCCGTTCCAGTACCCCTATCAAGCTAGCTTGCTATATGGAGACGCGCTCCATGCCGCCGACCCGTATTTCTAGCATCACTGGGGCTCATGTGGCTTCGTCAAAAAACATCAAAAACAAAGGGAAAATTATCAAAAAAAATTGCAACTGTAAAGCTTATAGCTTCAAAACCTTGAGAAAATAAAGCCTTGAAAATGAAGACAATTTTTGCGAGCAAATTTTGGTCGAGCATCATTATACCAGCAGAGTCTCAGCAGGAAAGATGCAAATCCTTTGGTGCGTGACTAGGCACAACACACAATCAATTACAGTGTTTTGCAAAATGTATGTAGTTTATGAACAATGCTGCCCGTACTCTGGTGATGATAACGGTGCTCGACACAAGTGCTGCCTCAAAACTCCCTCTGCCCTTTGCAGACTTTCTTCTCTAGAGATAAAGCTTTACAGCATCCATGTTTGATCATTTTCATCTGCTTTTGACGTTTCTTTCAAATAAATACATATGTCCTGGTGACGTTCAAACTGTCGGCTTGCCGCCGACATTTCTAGCACCGCCTGGGCTTATATGGCTTCTTCAATGTCAGGACTTTGTAGTGGAAAAATATGGAAAATATGACTTTTGAGCACTTTCTAGCCTAAAGCTATCTGTGCTTACAGGGTTCGCGGACACAAAGGTGGCCCCAACTTCGCCCAGTGCGTGCGCCCGCGCCCGTGCGCGAGTGCGTGTGCGCGAGTGCGTGTGCGTTCGTGTGCATGTGCGTTCGTGTGCGTGCGCGGTGTGCATGCGCGTACGTGTGTCTGAAGCTGAGGTTGCCAGGCTTTTTCCATCAGACCCTCGTGCGCACACCTGTGTGGGAGTGTGTATGCGCAGGCGTAAGAAGCTGTGCTAATCGTCGGATTTTGCTTTGCAAAGAGCCTGCGGATACCTGCAGTCCCCCCAGGGGCGTCGCCGGTTGGCGAAGCCTGTCAGTATATGTATACGTTATATAATGTCCAATTGTTCCTCAATTGGTCGCCAAGGATCACTGTGAAAACAATCGGCAAACGCTGGCGTGCCTCTGCAAGGACATGGCGAAAGTCCTGAATTCCGAGCCCTGCAAATCAAATGCCTGAGTGTGGTGGGTTAAGGGCTTGCAAATGCCACCCATCAGTGATTCAGAATACCACTCTGACCATGCTCTATCCAGGGCCTCTTTTGAGACCTAATTACTGTACGCATACGTTGTCGCTATGCTGAGTCTCTTTGAGATCCCGTGACCACTCACTGACCACCATTCACTTCCAGTTAATTTTGACCGTAGCTGCGGAAAACTACACACAGGGTCTCTCACACCTATTTCGATTTGATTTCGACCATATCGTAGCGGGAAAGTCCTTTTTGAAGTCATCCATGACTAGCAGTGACTAGCAGTGACTAGCAGCTGGCAACGCTTCGATTCGTCGTGCTGGCCCGCTCCTCGCGCGACGCAACGGCTTTGCCATTCACCGCGACGATTTCATCGCCGAAGCGCCACCCGACATCTGCGGCCTGGCGTCGTGCAGCTTCCGAAACGGCATGAGAGAGAAGTCAACCAAGCTCCAGAAATGTGCAATGCAACCAGTGGCGAATTATTGGCCTCATGTTCACATGACCCAAATGCTCCTGTTCAGTCCAACCAATTCAAATCGTCCATTCAAATCGAATTCTTTGGGCATTGTGCTGAGACGGAGTGGCACGATTGTGCCTCCGGCACGTCGAAATTGCTGACCACCAGATTCTCCATGCGGAGGCGGACACCCAGCTTGTCTCCAAAAAGTTCCTTCACCTCAATTTGCACCTCAGCCAATGGCTTTCTGTCGTACGTTCAGACTTGTTCAAGGAGAGACCCAGCATGACCCATCTCTCTCACCCATCCTATCATTCAAGGAACTACAAGACCTAAAGCAGGCGCGCCGACCTTTTGCAAGATGAAGGG